GATGTCGCTGTCTTTTCTTTACACAACAAAATTGTGTATATTATAACTGTGACATTTCCCAATACTCCAATAATCATCGCGATAAATTTGAAAACAACTGAAAAGATGAAAATACTGCTGGCAACTGGAACGAGAGTTGAGCTGTTAGTCATGTTTGGTTTTAATGTCGTAGAATATCAGTGGACGAGGGAGAATAGCACGTATACGTTTTTTTGCGTATTGACTGAATAATACTGCACCTGTCTTAAAGGACAAATTAAAATGACAACAATTATAGGTTCTGAGTTATTGGAACTTGTAGGACTAAGAGATTAGCATATGAATAACGCGCACAAGTACCTTAACTATTATTACTAACACGGATATATTAAATAAGCAACTGATCATAGCTGTATCTTCACCTGATCTATTAGTTTTTAAGTAATTTGTTCATAAGGTACTGTTAATCTCAATGAAATAGTTTGATTAATCGCTTGGACCTAACCAACTGAAAGCTAAAAAGAGGCAGTTAGGATAGTTTGTGCGATAATTCATCTGTAACAAGACGCTAATTCTGGCGGTTACTGCGTCGCGCCAATCGTTGCATGCAACTGTGCCCCATTTCCTGTCAATATTAATTTTATTGCTTTATAGAAAAATGTTTCTTTCTTAGGGTTTCTAGTAAATAGAGCACTTCGTACAGAATATAGGGGTAAAACTGCATTATTGGTGCTAGGCAGATGTAGATAACGATGTACATGAATAAGGCTGAGTTTGGAAGCATGTACTCTAGGAATCTGTTTGTACTGAAATTCAATAGGATTGGTCTGGCCGTTTTTACCCTTTCATAGCATACAAGGCTTTCATGGCATACAAGGCTTTCAAGATTCATGTGACCGTTGTCTGTAAACCCGTTTTAGTGTAGGTTTACCACGATCAGTGTGTGCTAGTGTATGCAGAGTGAGCATATAAACAAGAAAAGGCGAGAATCCAGCATTATGATTACCTGTACGTATTTTCTCGAACGACTAGATTTCCTGCGCTATCGGCCATGCACATGCAGCGACTCGTGTACGTGTTATTTTATATGACGTGTATCGTGCATGCAGTTTCCTGCTTTTGGTTCGCACGACCCGAGTTCGAATCCGGGGACAACAAACTTTTTCAATTTTTCGTTTCAGTAAAATTTTTCTTTTGCGGGGGTTACTAAGCTTACGTTACTATTTGAAGTGTGTTCAGCACGAAAATATTTCGATACGAAATCAGACGAGTTCAAAATACGAGTATCTCAGTTGGCCTGCGCGGCCAGGAAGACCGGGTCGAAAACGTAAAAAACACGAAAAAAAAACAAAAAACAAAACACCGACGGCAATTTTAGACTGCGTTCGCGCAGTGCGCGACGCAGTAATGATAAATAAGGTAAGCTAGCACATCGGACATCCGTCAAAATCAAGTGATCTGCCAAGCTGATGTGTAAGTATATATAGCTACAGCTGATTCGATTATGGGGTTTTCATCAAAACAAAAAAGTACAAAGCGCACAAAGGATGTTCGATAACAGGTCGCCTTTTCCGAATAGTTAAAATGTCCATTTTTCACTTTTCCCCTGTCCACTTTTCCCTCGCCATATCTATTCAAAGAGCTCTTATGGTTATTAAGCCTCATTCTGAAAGGTGTTATAGTACAGCCCACATATTGTTTGCCACATTTCCTGCAGTCTACCAGATATAAACCCCTTCTGAGTTACAATCAAAGTAATGATTAATGTGAAAAGTACGACCCTCTACAAAGCTTTTAAATGTAGAGCCTTCAATAACATTTTGGCAAACTTTACACCTTCTATTTCCACACTTAAACATCCCTCCAATTTCAGTCTGCTCCCTAGGCAATTTGGATCGCACTAAATGGTCCTTAAAGTTTTTTGCTCTACGAAAACAAATCATAGGAGGTTCCGACATGATATTAGAAAAACTGGTAGACCAACCTATACCATCTGTTGCAATTCCCTAAAGATACCGTACAGACTTTGTAAAGCCGGATGATAATAAATTAGAAGAGTGTTTTTGTTTCCCCTTTCAGCCCTTTGCTTACGTTCTAATAAATCAATCCTGCTAATATTTTTCATCCTACTAAACTGGTTCTCCACAAAATCTCCCTCATAACCCCTCTTAACTAGAAAGCCCTTAAGATCAGAAGGCAATATTCAAATAAAAGAATTGACGAACAAAATCAAAAAATAAACAATGGTTTTCTCCTTATTTATTCACTTAGTATTTACATTCATTTTCCAAAAAACTTAGCATTGGATATGATCTTTCACGCACTCAAGTCAATATGATCACACCAACTTACGAACTGTTTACATGGAGCGAGTTACCCCGGCTAGGCGAGGTGAAAACTGCATAATTTATAATGAAAGACTGATCAGGTTAAGCCTTTGATGTGATGCGCTTTTTACCTCGCCCAACCAGGATAACTCGCTCCATGTAAACAGGCCTTATAATCATATCTGACGATGGGGGACACTCCTTGATTTATCGAATAAAGACAAGGCAACCTAATGTTAGATTTATTTTATGAAGAGCGGGAAAGTCGGTTATCGGCATAAACCGATGATCATCAGCCTTATTACGCCCATAAAGAAACAGAGAAAGCAGTGGATGTGATAATTAGAGACGGAAAGCAAGCTGGTAGACGGACATTTTCACAAGATCACCAACAAACTATAACCTCTGAAATTCAGACTTTCATGCCGAGATTAAATGAATGAATCTGTAAAATACGGTAAGAACTCGCTAAGATACTATGGTCCTTACCTTTGGTCGAAGTTAGGCGCAGAAGATAGGAATCAGACCTCTCTATCTGTTTCATTACCAGAAATTTGCGACATGATAATTTGCATGTATACTAATTTGCATTTAACTTTCAGCATAATGGCCTTCAACATTTACTATAAAATATATATAGTGAATATACAAAACTTAAAAATGCCGTTGACCTAGACCTTGCCTACTGTTTGCCGACCTCTAGATCGGTCGAGCAGCTGTTTAAAAACGTTTTGGTGGCCGAATTTTTTTGCTTGGGCATTTCTGTAATCTGCCAAATTTAAAAATATATTGCTCAAAGTTTTGTCCGTGTTCTGTCAACGAACTTATAAAATCGCTCACATTGATTCGAATATTTCGATTCAGGTAGTTGATGAATTGACGTGTAATGTACCAAAAAAAATTGTTAAAGATATTGTCTTTCGTATTTGTGTATAAACTTTTCTGTACGGCTCGGATTTTCACTGCAATCACTTTAAAAAATATTATCAGTCTTATCAGGAACTTGAACAATACGAAGGCTATATATACACATTTGTTCACAATCAGTTGGCCGAACGTAGAAATACCTAAGGTAAGTAATTCGATCATTAAAACGTTGGGAAACGGCTGTTCTATTGACCCAGAGGTCGGCAAACAGTGGGCAAGGTCTAGGGCAACGACATTTTAAGGTTTTGCATATTTACTATATGTATTTAATAGTAAAAGTTGAAGGCCATTATGCTGAAAGTTAAATGCAAATTAGTATAAATGCAAATTATCATGTCGCAAATTTCTGGTAATGTTTAGCGAAGGTATAGAAAAACCGAATTGAGATGTATTGTAGCAGAGTAACTGTAGAAAATGAAAAACCATTCCCATCCGTATAACAGGATAACGAAGTAACCGTTACCATAGTGTTTAGATTAGATATAACATATAATTCTAATAGTAAGTGTCCTTAAGTTAGTAGTTTATTGCTGTAACCGGCTAGATATCTTCGACACAATAATAAAGTTTTTTATTTATCTATGTTTTTATATAATTATCCAACACGAATCTGGTTACATTCAGTTTCGTGGTTACTCCGTTAATCATGAGGTCTGAAACCTAATTTTTGTACTACATAATTATGGAAATTTCGACAACCGGAATTCGAATGTATGTTATTTCCGCAGGGCCCGACCCCCAAATTTACATACACGTTCCATTGAATTTATATTTTATATTTTATACGCTATACAAAGATCAACTTCCGCAATTTAAGTATTGTCTTGTCCGGAGGACCCAACTTCTAAATATACACCGCGTTTTATATTATTCTTATGGTAATAAAATTTCCACAACCGCTTAATCCGAATATGTTATTTCCGCATGCAGGGCCCAATCACGAAATTTAAATATCCGCGCGACTCAAATTTATAAGTTCAACCTCCGCAAATATACAGTCTTTGTCCGCACGGCACAACCCCTAAATTCACAACGCGTTTTCTATTTTATGGTGCGATAATTTCTACTTTATAAGCCCGATCCCAATTAAGTCGTAATTGTCGTGAACAAGTCATTTTCACTGATGAGAAATAGTCCGGATGTAAATTTGTCTTTGTTTCTGTATTGAAATCGGTCATTGTTGACTTGCAGACGCGTAGAAATATTCTCAATCACATCAGCCACCTTGACATGTTCACCACACTCACGACTAATTGGAAGCCACGCAGACATCATTGGTATAAAATTTATACCAAAAAGAAACACATGCATTACATTATGAATCGAACTAGTATATGCACACAGGCTCGAAAAAGTTAAAATGGAACAGAGATATTTGCGTTTGTTCAGCCCTAATACTAACCTTACGACGTCTTCGTTCTTGTGAATTCGTCGGAGACAATATATCAACTATAGTATTTATCACTTCAAAGGATACGCTGGAATATTGCCTCTCCTAATCCGTGTTCAATAAATGGGCGTCGATTGCGTCGTCTTTGGAGCTGTGACGTGCAGATTAATTAATCCAATCCAATCTTAGACAAATCTAATGTAATCCTGCCCGACATTATTGTAATCCTCTTTATCATTTTGTTAATCTCCCGTGAATGGAACCCTTAATTTGAAACGTCAGGTGACCTCATTTCCCAGTATCATTTGTATTGACATTCTATATTAATTTTGTCGTCGGATCTTGCCGTTTGTAATCTTGCTGGTATCTGAAACTATCTTCATTCTTGAAAAGCTCTGTTGGTTGTCGAAGAACATATTCAACCTAAGATAAATGCATTTAGCAATAAGATAAATTAACATATTCAATACCATCGAGTCTAACAAATTGCCGATTGCATTTTGCATTAGGACTGACAAGAGAACATGCACAGCGAGCGTTCGAGTTGTCATACAAGGAAAAGTGACTAGTCGAGAAGTAAAATACCTGAGAGCTTTGTAGGAACCACGAAGAAAGCAGCTTTGCTTTGCTTTCTACGATGACGAAGTTTGACTTCGTATTTCAATTATGTGGTCGCAATTAAGCATTGATAGTTTCCTCTGTCGCACTTCACTTTTGTCAAGACACTTTTTAGGCAAACGTAGCAAATCTCTCCTAGAAATATAATTCGACGATAAACCAAAGCTTATCAATTGGTTTGCTAGCCAATGTTGTTGTTGCAACCCCGTTCGATAAACTTCGTATTTACACAAAGTATAGGAAGATAATTAAAATACCTGATCGTCTCGTTGGAGTAAAATAGGAGCAATTGCTTCCCAATGTACAGGGTGTCCCAAAAAAAAGTCCCCGCTATTGAAATGAAGCTTTTGTTGGAATTTGAATGCATGATCAACGCAGTAGTGTGTAAATAGCATATTTATTAGGTTGAGGCATTCAAATAAAGCGTCTTGCTTTCAATTGGGTTTATCATAATATTAAGGCAATCAGATTCGAACAAAGGCTTGATTTCAATAGAGGGGACATTTTTTGGGACACCCTGTACAGGGTGAGTGAAAAATGAATCGTTTCAAATTCAAATTTGGCACATAATTAAATAACTCATGGGTATACGAAAACATAAATTGTGCTTCCTTTGGGAGTCATTTTAAATAATCTGGCGATAAATAATAAAAGTGTAGAAATTTGCATGGAACTGGACGACTTTTCATTAATGAGTCATTTAACTTATTGACAACACACTATGGTTCAACTAACCACTGAACAACGAGTATTTGTTGTAACACATTTTGATACGTACGTGATTCAACACATTACGGCAGTGGCCTGACATGATTCAGAGAGTGTTTCGTGAAAATATGCAGAGACGAACGAAATAATAATAAACCGTTTATCAAATTGTTTTTATAGCACACGCGTCACGTTGTATGCTTTCGCATAATTAACTACGCCCTGTTAGGCACAAGGGAAGTGTCACAACAATAATTTGAATATCAAAGGCATCACTTTGTCGAACAACGTTCGGTGTCCATGAGGATCCCGAACTCAACTCAATATCATACATCGGCTGTCGAGTCAGCAAGGGACCTGGGGAAAAGGCTTACATGCTTGGAAATAATGAGAATTAAAGCGCTTTCAACGGGGTTGCGAAAGTATTTCAGGGTGGACGTTCTTCATGGGCACAGTTTACTCTCCATTTTAGGTATTTCGGGGCAACCCGTTATGACCTGGACCTGGCCGAGGCAAATTGCTACTTTCAGAGGCCCAGCGCATGCATTGAAACTTTTCCCGTTTTTTTAACGATATTAAGGAATAATTACCCCGATATACGAACGACATCAAAACAATTAAAACAGATAATTTATTTTAAACAGCGAAATCGGTTACATGCATCAGCCACACTTCGATTGACGGAACAAAACTCCTCATTTAATAAAAGTATTCAACGAAACACTGGTGAACCCGAAACAATATTGCGGAGAATTATGACAAATCCAAGAAAATATTCATAACACTAGCAACAGCAATAATTACATTCTAGAATTCTGAAAAGAATTTGTCCATAAGCTTTTCTGTATTTCAAATGCCTCATTCCGTAGATGAAAGCATTCACGATTGAGTTTACTCCATAAAGCTCGTATTGAACAACCACGAACCAAACCCGTTGGCATGAAACACTACAAAAGCGGATAAGCACGACCCCGATGATTGCTGGTAAAAAGCAACAGATTGCCAACACTAAAATAACAATAGAAAATGTTTTCACTTCTGTAAACGCCTGGAATAGACGAAGTACACCTCTCTTATTTTGAGATTGTTCGTTGCAGTTTGTGATGCCAGCGACCATGTACTCATCAATGATTAGTTTGCTTTGCTTTCGAGAAACACCCAAAATTCGAAAATTCAGAAGAAAAGTAAAAGTGAGAGGAATATAGAGAAGAACTTGTTTAGAGTAATAGATACTGTCAGGTACGTAACAAAGACTTCTGATTCTTTTGTCAAAACTCCGATTGTGAACATAAAATACAGCGCAAACACAAAAAGCAGTAAACCAGATTCCAGAAATAACCAGGAACACTCGTCGTCGTGTTACAATAAGAGGATATTTCAGAGGTTTCACGATATATAAATAACGATCAACAGTAATTGCGAGAATTGTAGCCACTGAAGCAAACACCAAACACATGCTTGTAGAACGAGTTAACTTACAAAACAAGTCCTGATCACTCTCAATGTTTAATAAAGTCTGAGTAAACTCGATGATCCATAGTGGATAAAATGTTAAACACACGAGAAGATCCGATAATGCCAAGTTTGCTATCAAGTAAGATGTCGCTGTCTTTTCTTTACACCACAAAATTGTGTATATTATAACTGTAACATTTCCCAATACTCCAATAATCATCGCGATAAATTTGAAAGCAACAGAAGGGATGAGAACACTGCTGGCAACTGGAACGAGAATTGTGCTGTTAGTCATGTTTCAGTTTAATGTCGTAGAATATCACTGGAAGAGGGAGTATAGCGCGTATACGTTACTTCGGCGTTTTGACTGAATAATATTGCACCTGCGTTAAATGACAAATGAGAACAAAAATGATCGATTGTATGACAATTTTTGGAATACTAAAAGATTAGCATATGACGAACGGCGATAATTCTACTTGACTGTTTTTCATGTCCTTGTATATATGGGTGAGTAAGCTCGAAGTTCTAAATTTTTTCAAGACAAATATGTGTATATTCTTTGAATTAATAAAAGCAAACACACGGATTATCCGTCAAGATTATGCCGAACATCTTCTTCACCTCCTCCACCTGCTTGCATACAGACAAATTTTATCTGAATAATCCCCGGCTCTTTTGAAAGAACAGAAACTTAAAGCTTTTATTGATCTTCGCTATGAGGAATCTGCACGAGGAAGTGGTATAGAGACATCAGGTTTTTTTTCAATTGCATGGCAACAATCAGTTGCAGATATTCTTTAATCGACTGAACCTATATAAGACGTTTAGTCGTTTAGTTTATTCGCTACTCGTTGCAACATGAATAATGAATCATGAAGCTCTTGTGAATGTGAATTAATAGTTTATAGAGTAAAGTTTTGAAGACATGTATTTGTTGAAAATTCACCCTAGTTAAATAAAATACTGACAACCTTGACTGAATCAGCTGTACAGGGCATGGGTAAATAAACTGATGCCTTCAAACGTCCAAATTTCGCCTGGACTTATAATGGATCAGGGGCAGCGGAGCATAATATATTTTGGAGGGGCTAATTTCACGAGGCACCACCATAGTTGGCGCCGAGCGGAATTTTTTTGGAAGTTCAATGCTCTAGATCTTCGGAAATGGCCATTTCAGAGTCCTAGTTGCCGCTTTCATCGTAGTTTTTCATGGGCAAACACAAACTGAAAACGGCACAGCGCGCGTGTAGTGATATCTTCTACATTTGAAAAATCATCTCTCAAATTCTCAAAATAATTTCCAAACAAAATAGCGGTCCGAAATAAAAAATATACAACCACGAATATTCTGCTGTTAAAGACAACTATGAAAGATCAAAGAAAGTCAATTTACATTCACTTGATCCGTATCACAATATAGGATATCTTACTAGCATTTGATACGCCGGCGAGCATAAGGAGCATTAATTTGACGACTTCGTCACAACGTAATTTGTATATTCAATCTCCCATTCTGGCATTCGTCATGAAATTTTTGGGGAGGTTAAAGCCCCTCTATTAAAATAAAGAAATTCGGTTCGTGATCATTCGCCAAACCGTATGAGGAAGTGGTAGCTACAGAAATATACATTTTTTGTTAAAAATGCCAAAATTGACTTGGAGATAATATTTAGAAGACTTCACCTACTACAGACGAATTTCATCTCAATATATCTATACCGAAATTGTCAATAATTGTGTTAATTGAAAATTCGTCCTTGTAGGGACAATAGATAATAGACAGCCTTGATTAAGTCATGCCTTCCAACATGCAAATTTGCCGCGAACTTGTTATAATAACTGATCTAAGTAGACAACTCCGCTTATGCCCAAGCCGACGCATTCATGACTACACAATTTATGATTGGAACTGACGCACTTTAAGAAATCCGTCGAACAGAACTGTATAATAATATGAATTAACACTCTGTCCCCCCCAATTACGGTTCCAGCCACGCAACTGGAGGCCCTGCGATAAAACTTCTTGTTCAAACAAACTTTCCTAGCTAAATTTCACGATTATTCAGCTATCCCCTAATCCAGAAGGCTAGCTATTTGTGCAAAATTCTTTGCCGAAGAGACAAGATAATTTATGCATGCATGCATGGCTTATATAATAACGCATGCATGTAAACACCTTGGTAATAATATAAAATTTTTATAGCGTGAATGTTGGATATTTTTAGTTAATGCTTCTTTTAATCTTTTAAAAAGTTTATTACATTTTTTGCCCCTTCAAACAATCCCATACAACGGTGAGTTCTCTTTTGAAATACGACATAAGTTTAATTAATACAAAAGGTATAGAACGTTCAAATAACAACATAAATTACGTAGCAATAGTATTGACTCGACTAATGCAGTTATTGAGGAGAGATCTTTGTCTAGCTAGTAGTCTACACAAGTTGTCCGAGACAAAGTCATTACTCAAGGGCTTTTAAATGAAATCTAATAAAAAAACCCTAAAAATAACCCAGGCATGATTCAACTACTTATATAACTAACTACGTGTAGGGCGCTCACTATAGGGCGCATTAAAGTAAAGGTAACTGACGTGTATTTAGTCCGGTATTCTAAATAAAAATAAAAGCAATCAATACATGAAAATTTTAAAAAAGCTGGCGCTTGTTAAACGAACTAAAATTCTAATGTTGCGCATAGAAATTAGGAAAGGCGAAGTAACTATACGAAAATGAACAAGACACTCGTCGAAATACGTCAGAATAATTTATTACGCTGAATCATGTATGACATATGCAGAATACGAGTATATTTTCCTAATACTAGCAACAACAATTACAGTCTAGAATTTTGAAAAGAATTTGCCCATAAGCTTTTCGGTACTTGATATGCCTCATTCCGTAGATGAAAGCATTAATTCACGATCGAGTTTATGCCATAAAGCTCGTAGTGAACAAACAGATACCAAACCTGTGCGCAGGAACTACTACAAAAGTAGAATAACACGATCCCGATAAAGGTTGTTAAAAAGCAACAGATCGCCAACACTGTAATAACAACAGAAAATGTTTTTACTTCCGTAAACGCCTGAAATAGACGAAGTACAACTCTCATAATGCCTGAATGTTCGTTGTGGTTATTG